AGGAGCTAGACTCAGTACCGTAACCAAAAACCAAATAAATGAACCAGAACTTCGACGCTTAGCTTGCCTTCAGTCATTTCGAAGGAAACGCCAACATCTAATCCGCATGATCGACGTCCTCAGCGTTCTCCAATCGAATCATAGGGTCTTGCACGGACGACGGCGATGGCGGAGCGAGGTCTCGAATAAACGCGACGATCACAGCCTTGCGTGTTTCGAGGTTTGCCTTGTGCATATCTGGGCGTTGACCGAAGGCTTCCCAGTCAAAGGCGTAACTGCTCATAATCTTGCAAAGACCCGTTCACACAGTCCAAGGCCACGTTCGCGGATTCCGCTAAGTCGGCAACGAAACCCTCCAAATTTGTGCTTGCAGGCCTGAACAGATGGACCAGTTGTTGAGGAGGAAGCTGCTGAATCATTGCATCCCACGTGGAGCGGTCAAGGTTCCTCGTGACATGATTGCCCCTCAGAGGCCACACCACATCTTCCGCTTGGAATGTAGTACTCCAAGCTTCCTTCAGACTCTGCACCACATCTCCGAGCGATCACTCTGACGGTGCTCCCGCTCGATCTGTGTCTGGGACGACGTGAGCTGCCCTAAAGTCTTCCAGATCTTGAGCCCTCGCGATATCAGCACCGTACTCATAGATCAGCAGCTTCACTGTCTGTCCACGCATCTTGAACAGCCACATATTCCACGCGGACTCAGTCTTGGAGACATCCACGACGTGTTTCTTCACCTTAAACGGCATCACATTCCACCATTCCGAAATGTTTGGCTCCTCTCTGGTCCAAACGCCATCCGTCTTCACCGCTCGGCCCTTCACCCGAGGTGTGAATTCGTACCAAAGCTGCTGGAGGATCTCTTCGAGCGAGTTTCCACTCTTGACAGTGTCGCGCAGCATATTGCCAGACGTATCACGCTGTCTTACAGTTGTCTTCACGATAGGCTTCACCAGCAGCAAGTAGAGGAACTCTTGGTTTTCTTCCGCAATCGATTGACTTTCTTCGATCGCCGTGGGAAGTGTGCTGGAGTCGAGAGAGCGAGTTTCACGCAACAGCGGGCGCGTCGTCGATGAGTACGGCGAGAAGCGAGGGTGTGATCTTGTGCGGAGCGGACGACTGTGATCTGGCGATGACTCCACTGCCTGCTCAGGTGGACGTTGGTCTTGGCTCTCCATGGCGCATTGATCTTGGTTCTCCATTCCGCACTCACAGCCAGCACTGCTCGAGTGCGCACTCGTCAGAGAGAATAAATCATGCTTTTGGGTAGGTCTGGCGATTGGGCGGCGGTTTGGCCCCGGCAATTCGCCCAATCGACCTTGGAAATCTTGAGTCGAATCGACAATAGCAAGTTTACAATTTGCCGTGACACGTTGAGGCTTAGATAAGCCCGACACTGAAAAACTATTTTTTCATATACTGACTACGTATCAAGAATT